GACCTATCTACCTTCAGCACCGTCAACCTTTTTAGTACCTCCACTCAGTTTATTGTTAACCAATTTCTCTACCCTCTTCTCCGATACTGTGGCATTGGCTGCATCCTTTTCTTTCGTGAAGACAGATACAAAGTATGCATTCAGTACGTCAGCTATGCCCTCTGTCTCCACAAGAAGATTTCCTCTCTGTATTTTAACCTGACATTTATCATCTGTTATTTTAATCCCAATTTCCTGATTCATCCAGGGAGATTTGGATGCCCTACCTTTCCCCTTTGCGGTAATATATTTGTTCTGTCCCCAAACTATCAACTCCTTGAAGGCTTCCCATTGCTCGTTAGCTGTTTTACCTGCCTATCCTTCTTTCCAGTCCAAGGGGTCCCTTTTTAACTCACTGAAATTAGCCTTCTTCCAGTTGAGTATCTTCACCTTTGACCTTGTCCCTTTCCATAAGTACTCTAAACCTAATCATGTTGTGATCACTGTTGTCCAGATGCTCTCCTACTGAAATCTGCTCCACTTGCCCCACTTCATTCCCCAGAATTAGATCCAGCACTGCTTTCTTCCTCGTTGGGCTGGAAACATATTGATCAAGAAAGTCATCCTGCACACATTTCAGGAATTCTTCCCCTCCTTGCCCTTTACACTCTTATTTTGCCAAGCTGTTAGGATAATTGAATCACTACTCTATTGCTTTTGCATCATTCTGAAATCTTTAATCAATATTGCCCACCCCTCCTTTTTTTCCTCCCCTATCCCTCCTGAATACATTGTAGCCAGGAATATTCAGCTCCCATTCCTGCCCTTATTTGAGCCAGGTTTCCGTTATTGCCACTACATCATAACCGTATGTGGCAACTTCAGCCTGCAGCTCACCAATCTTATTTGTCACACTCCGTGCATTTATGCACATGCACTCCAAGACCAATTTAGCTTGATCTGCAATTCTCCCCCATCTAATCCCTTCTGTTTCTGGATTACTCCTGATTACATTGCTATTTCGTCTCTCCCGGCCCTCTATGTAACTTGTTTGTCCTCTCCAATGCTACATCCTGATTCCCTCCCCCCCAGCACTATTTGACCTCCCTGCGAGGACGTTGTTCCCAGTTCTGTTCAGGTGTAACCCATCCACCTTGTACAGGTCCCAACAGCCCCAGAACTGGGCCCAATGATCCAGGAACCTGAAGTCCTCCTGAAAGGCACTTTATAAATCCAGCTTGTTGTCATCGTTGTCGTCCGATAACAACAGGAGAACTTCCTTTAAACACTTTCAAACATTTCCAGACCGTTCTGCATGCATTTACAATTTCTGGGGTAAGGGGGGGGGGAAGGAAGGTTAAAAACATCCAATATGTTTTGTGTAATCTGACTGTAGGGAGGGTTTGGCATCTGCGCTTTCAGCCACTTTCAGGGCCCGGAAGCTTTGGGAAGAACACTAACCCAATCCCTCCGTCTTGCCCATTCTTTCCCCTTTTTTAGATCACAATTTGAAGACCTGCTGTGACCATAATAACGCACCCCCCCGACTCTCCTCCCCCATCCCCCCGACTCTCCCCCCCCATCCCCCCGACTCTCCCCCATCCCCCCGACTCTCCTCCCCCATCCCCCCCGACTCTTCCCGTCCCCCCGCCAGGCTCCCCCCAGACTCTCCCCCAGACACCCCCCCCCCCGACTCTCTCTGCAGACTCTTCCCCCCCCAGACTCTCCCCCCCAGACTCTCTCCCCCAGACTCTCCCCCAGACTCTCTCCCCAGACCTCTCCCCCCAGACTCTCTCTCCCCCAGACTCTCCCCCCCAGACTCTCTCTCCCCCAGACTCTCTCTCCCCCAGACTCTCTCCCCCCCCAGACCTCTCCCCCAGACCTCTCCCCCAGACTCTCTCCCCCCAGACTCTCCACCCCCCCCAGACTCTCCCCCCAGACTCTCCCCCCCCCCAGACTCTCTCCCCAGACCCCCCCCCCCCAGACTCTCTCCGCCAGACCCTCCCCCAGACACCCCCCCCCAGACTCCCCCCAGACTCCCCCCAGACTCCCCCAGACACACCCCCCAGACTCTCCCCCGCCAGACTCCCCCCAGACTCCCCCCCCCCCAGACTCTCCCCCAGACTCTCCCCCCTTGTCCAGTGCCTTGAGACGTCCTCCCGATGTAAAAGGCGCTATACAAATATAATTTTG